GACAGATTTGGCCGCATTGGGCGCCTGGTCTCCAGGACTGCTTTCAATTCTGGCAAAGTGGATATTGTTGCCATCAATGACCCCTTCATTGATCCGAACTACATGGCCTACATGTTCCAGTATTATTCCACCCACGGCAAGTTCAATGGCACTGTCAAGGCTGAGAATGGGAAGCTTATCATCAATGAGAAGGACATCTCCATCTTCCAGGAGCGAGATCCCGCCAACATCAAGCAGGGTGAGGGCGGTACTGAGTACATCGTAGAGTCCACTGGTGTCTTCACCACCACAGAGAAGGCTGGGGCTCACTTGAAGGGCGGTGCCAAAAGGGTGACCATCTCTGCACCTTCTGCTGATGCCCCCATGTTTGTGATGGGCGTGAACCATGAGAAGTATGACAACTCCCTCAAGATTGTCAGCAATGCCTCCTGCACCACCAACTGCTTGGCACCCCTGGCCAAGGTCATCCATGACAATTTTGGCATTGTGGAAGGACTCATGATCACAGACCATGCCATCACTGCCACCCAGAAGACCATGGACAGCCCCTCTGGGAAACTCTGGCGTGATGGTCATGGGGCTGCTCAGAACATCATCCTTGCATCTACTGGCGCTGCCAAGGCTGTGGGCAAGGTTATCCCGGAGCTGAATGGGAGACTGACTGGCATGGCCTTCTGTGTCCCCACCCCCAATGTGTCTGTCGTGGATCTCACCTGCCGTCTGGAGAAAGCTACCAAGTACGATGACATCAAGAAGGTGACGAAGCAGGCGGCCGATGGTCCCCTAAAGGGCATCCTGGACTACACTGAGGACCAGGTTGTCTCCTGTGACTTCAACAGTGACCCCCACTCTTCCACCTTTGATGCTGGGGCTGGCATTGCCCTCAAGGACCACTTTGTCAAGCTCATTTCCTGGGATGACAACAAATTTGGCTACAGAAACAGGGTGGTGGACCTCATGGTCCACACGGCCTCCAAGGAGTAAGAGCCCCCCTGGACCACCAGCCCCAGCAACAGCGCTAGAGGAAGAGAGGCCCTCAGCTGCTGGGGAGTCTTTGCCCCTAATTCAATCCCCCAACACACTGAGAATATTCCATCCAGACCCCCTGAAGGAAGGGGAGGGGCTTAGAGAACTCCACCTTGTCATGTACCATCAATAAATTACACTGTACTCAGAAAAAAAAGAATTGTGTGAGCTCCCTAATAAAACTATTAAAAAAAAGAAAGAAAATAAATAAAACAAAAGTTAAACTTTAAAAAAAAGATGCTAAAAGTTATTAGCCATGAAACCCACTGCTATCCACTTGATTCGGACTCAAAGATCCTACAGGACAGAGTAGAAGGATCCCTAGGGTTTCCAAGAATGAAAATCTCTGTGAGAGCACACAGCTCCATCTTTCTCCCATGGAGTGGCTGGCGGGTTTGAACCTTCAACCTTAGGGTTAGCAGTCCAACACTTAACCCATTATACCACCAGGGCACATGTCTGAAAACTCAGTGCTGTGGAGTTGATGCCAACTCATAGTGACCCTATAAGACAAAGTAGAACTGCCCTTGTGAGACTGGACCCTCTGAGACTGTAACTATTTACGGGAGTAAAAAGCACTGTCTTTCTCTCAGGAAGCACCTGGTGGTTTCGAACTGCTGACCTTGAAGTTAGCAACTCAATGTGTAACCATTAAGCCCCCAGGTCTCCTATAGCCATTCCCCAAAACCAAACCCAAGCCCACTGCCATAAAGTTGCTTCTGATTCATAGTAAGCCTATATAGGGGTTTGAGGCTGTAAATCTTTGCAAGAGCATAGCCTCTTCTTTCTCCTGCAGAGAAGCTGGTAGATTTGAACCATCAACCTTGCAGTCAGCAGTTCAAAACTTACCCAACAGCATCACCAGGGCTCCTTCCTAAAGCATTGGGGAAATGCAAATGAAGCTTACAGTGAGATACAATTTTATACTCACTGGGATGGCTATACTAAAAAATCAAAGCAGACAATGACAAGTTTGGGTAAGAAGATGCAGAGATTAGTACCCTGTGCATTGCTGGTGGGAATGTGAAAGGGTGAAAGTTCTTTGAACACAGTCTGGAAGTTGCTCACAAAGTTAAACAGGAAGCTGCCACATGACTTAGCAGTTCCACTTAATACCCAAGACAATGGAAAGCATGCCGGAATAAAACCTGTACTCAAATGTCCCCAGCAGCATTAGTGATAGTCAAAATGTAGAAACAACTCAGGTGTGTATCAATGATGAAGAGAGAAACAAAGGTCTATCTTTGGTCTGTCTACACAGTGGACTATTATTCATCCATCAAAAAGAACGAGGTGTGTGTACGCTCTAACGTGGGTGAAACAAGAAAGGAAACAGACAACAAACTCGTTACTATCAAATTGATTCTGATTCACTGTGGCCCTAAGTATTACCGAGTAGGACTGCTCTACAGGGTTTTCTTGGCTATAATTTTCATGGAGGCAGGTTGCCAGGCCTTTCTTCCTCAGTGCCATGGGTAGATTCAAACTGTGAATCTTTAGGTGAGTCAGTGAACACCACCCAGGGACCTGAGTCAGTGAGAAAGACCATCGACTGTACAGTTCCACATATATGAAATGTCCAGAACAGACTGACCCATGAGACCGAAGAGGGATGCATGGTTGTCTAGGACTGGGGGAGTCAGAGGATCATGGGGAGCAACTCATAGGTATGGGGTTTCTTGGGGCGGTGATGACAATATTCTCAAATCTGGAAGTGGTGATAGTTGCACAAACTTGTGACTAACCTAAAAACCACTGAGCAGTACACTCTGAGGGGGTAAATTTTATGCTATGTGAACTATATCTCCATAAAATATTATTTAAGACAATTATAAGTGGCAGCCCTCAAACCCAGGCCGGACACCAGAGTCTGTAATGGTAGTTTCTAAGACTCCATGCCTGGCTTGAAGAAAGAGCTACAAAGATGCCTAAGGAGGAGGAGGCTCAGTGTTGGGCCAGGTCTGCTGGTCTTTATGCTCAGAGCCATAGAGAACAACGGTAACCATATAACTATAAGTCTATTGCTAATGTCGCTTCTTCACCAGAACCCTTGTCCCTAGGCTTGTTCTGGCAGTAGAAGCAGCACCAGCAGGAACCACTGATTGTGGGCCAAAGAGAGGTATCCAAGCAGTCGGCGGGGGGAGGATGAAGGGACAGGGGTGCTGGCTAAGGCCTCTGTTGCCCAACTACTTCATGCCCCTTCTCCTGGGGCTCTGTCACATGACCCTCTGTGGGCTCAGCCCAGGACCCAAGGCCCTACGGAAGGATGCAAGCTTGAGGTGGGGTGAGAAAGATTGCTAAAGCTTCTCTTCCTTTCTCTCCTCACCACTGGTGAGAGGGGAGGGCCTAGGGCCCGGCTATTGGGTTGGTGGGTTTCAGGCAGCCAGGTAGGGATGTAGAGTGGGGGGAGTTATGGGTAGGTTAGGCTAGAGGGTACTTTACCAGTCTGTAGACTTCATATGTAATTCACAGTCCTCACCCTGGAGACCGAGAGATGAAAGGTTGGTCAGGGGTGAGAATTCAGAGCTGAACGATCCCCACTAAACACCTGGAGACTCACCACCTCGTCCACCTTCTGATTGCATTCTGCCCGCACGCATGCTCCCATGCTGCATGCATGCATGTACATACATGTATGTGCCTGTAGACATGTGTGTGTGCACACACTTCACTCCCCTGTGCATCACCCAGCCCACCCTCCTCAGTGCAGCACCCTCTCCCTTGCCCAGCTCCACACTGCAACTCTCAGCCCCCTACCCCCGTACCACCCAAGACTACTCCCTTGTCCTGCCCAAGAGAGATCCCCATGAACCACCTTCCCCACGTGCCCCCTCGAGATGTCCCCACCCCTGTCTAGGAGCTCCAGACCAAACTGCTCAGGGCCCCTTGGCAGAGCCAAGCCCTCACCACAGGCAGGGTCAGAGGCTGGCCGCTGGGAAGGCCATCCAGGGGCTGGCAGAAGGGGCCGGTCCTCTGGTGCAAGCGGCAGCAGCAGAGCTGGAAGGATGGGCGGGTGTGAGAGGGGCCCTGCCTGCCAGGGCCCCTCACACCCTCCATGCTGTGGCTCATACCCCACAGCACCCAGGCCTCTTGGGCTGCTCTGCGTGCAGCTGGGACCGGAAGAACGTGGGGTAGTGGAAGCAGGCAGGGTGTGGGCAGCAGGGCTTCAGGCAGGGGGAGATGCACTGGGTGTGTTCAAAGGACTCGGTCACTGTCACCAAGAGGTCTTTCTCTGGAAGAGAGGACAGGAGGCTGAGGACCAAGGGGCCAGGCACCAGGTAGCCGCTACCCCAGCCCCAGCTTGATGCAGCAAAGAGTCTAGCTGGAGGTGCCCAGGAGAGGGGCTTCAAGTCACCCGGGGCCTGGTTAAAACACTGACAACCAGCCCTCACCCCTACAACAGCAGTTCTCAACCTGTGGGTCGCAACGCTTTTGGGGGTTGAGCAACCCTTTCATGGGGGTTGCCTGATACAAAACAGTAGCAAAATTACAGTGATGAAGTAGCAGCGAAAATAATTCTATGGTTGCGGGGGAGGGGGGTCATTACAACATGAGGAATTATATGAAAGGATCGCGGCATTAGGAAGGTTGAGAACCACTGCCCTAGAGACTCTCCTTCCGTCGGTCGGGCCCGGCCCAGGAGTCTGCATTTTAACCAGGCGGCATGTCTAGAAAACCCCTGCGACACAGAGGCGTCCTCTGCTCTTCTGCTGGGACCAGGCTGGCACCCTTGCAAGGCTGAGGGGTAGCGGGCTGGGGAGGCTCAGATGTGTGATTTTCTCTTAAGTCCCTTCCAGGTAGGAAATGCTACAGGTTCTATGAACTGGCTAGAGGACAGGACAGGTTAGAAGGGTCCTGAGCATTGTCAGTGCCCACCCACCCCAGGTGCTGGCCACTGCACTGGACTCGAGGGTCCCTGGGCCTGGCTGGGGGTGAGGCACAGACCCCGAGTGGCTGAGCGGGCAGTGCTGTGCTGGGCCACTGACCCGGGCCCAGGGCACTGACCAGGCCTGGGGAGCTCCAGGGTTCTAGTGCCCGGAGCAGACTGAGGGGACGGGACTTGATGAGCCCTGAGGGTGAGGAGATACTGAGAAATCCTGAACTAGAAAGGGCCTGGATGGGCCAACTGCTGGTTGTTAGCAGGGTTTGGAAGTCCCCCAACAGGCAGAGAGGCACCCCACTCACTTCTCCCACCCTTCCTCCGACGACGCCTGGCTTCTGCGTGCACCTCCAAGCAGGAGATTTGTCGGGCCTGTAACAGAGAGAGGGAGAGGCACGGAGACTGAGCGCAGGCGGGCCCCTACTTCTGCCAGCCTACAAAGAGGCGATGAAGCATCAGGGGACACAGCCAGCAACAGTCTGACTCTGGGGTGACTCCAGGAGACACTGGGGCGGTGGCCACATTTTCAGAACCCAAATAAGGCACGCCGTCTCCCCTTACTCTCAAAAGCTCCCTGCCATCAAGCCGATTCGGACTCACAGCGGCCCTGTGGGGCAGGGTAGAACTAACTGCTCCCACGGGTGTCTGAGATGGTAACTCTCTACAGGAATAGAGAGCTTCCTCTTTCTTCCATGGAGCAGCTGGTGGTTTCGAACAGCAGACCTTTCGGTTGGCAGCCCAACAGATAACCAACTCTGCCACCAGGGCTCCCGTGGCCATCTCACTAGGAGATCGAGTATCTGAAAATGAAGCTGGTCCTGCGATGAAGGATCGACAGTCACCGTTGGCCAGCTTTTTGCATTTGAGCCCCAATCTGGCTCCGCAGTGTCTCCATCGGTGTCAGAGTAGAACTGTGCTCCGCAGGGTTCCCAATGCTGGGTTTCAGAGGTCGATCGCGAAGCCTTTCTTCTCAGGCTGGGTAGAAGCTTTGTGAAACCTTGGACCACCCAGGACCTCCCGCCACTTGCTCCAAAATTCCAAACCACCCTCCCTACCCCGTCCCATCCCCACAAACTCCCAGAGGCTCTGATTTGGGGAGAAGGGGCTCTGGGAGAGGCATGGGGGTGTACTTAACTGAAATAGCTGCACTCACAGCTGAATGGCAAACATCTTTTTATACACAAAGTGCTTAGGGGTTGTTGGGTGCTGGGCTGAGTCTGGGAGGAGGTGCCCTCTCATGAGCGCTTTTACTGGGAGGTTCCCAATAAGAATCAGGAGATGTGGTAGTGTAGTGGTTACTTGTTGGGCTGAACACCATAAGGTCAGCAGTTCAAAACCACCAGTCCCTCCTCAAGAGAAAGATGGGGCTTTCTACCCTGGTTAGGAGTTACAGTCTGGAAACTCAGGGGCAGTTCTAGCCTGCCCTATAGCATAGGAGTCAGCATCAACTCGACGGCAGGGAGTTTGACTTTTGGATCCCAAGAAGAGGATTCATCTTAGTGGGGGCATGGGAATCCAGGTCAAGGTGATTGCCCAGCTGCCTCCTCCCCGGGTGCAGGAGCCCAGGCTGCTGCCTCCATCCCTGTTTACAGCCCATTTGTCTGATTTCAGTGTGCCTGACGGGGGGAGGACAGAGGTCCAAGCTGTCACCCCTGAGAAACAGCAGCCAGATGTGACCTCAGCTATGGGGACCCAGAAGGACAGTTACCACCAGAACGCCATTGGTGATGAGGCTCTCACGCGCAGAGAAACTGAAAAAGAAAATGCAAATCCCCGGTCAGTGACCCCAGCCTCCACTGACTTCTCATAAACCGAAGGTGGGACAGTGGCGGTGCCTCTAGCTTTCTTGCTCCTCGGGTCAAAGATTGGCTTATGGACTTGTGGGCCATCAAGGAGAAAACCAGGACACATTTGAGATAGACTGCCCAGGAGAAACAAACCAAAACAAAACGAACTGACACCGAGTCAATTCTGACTCATAGTGACCCCCTATAGGACAGAGTAGAACTGCCAACTCTTTACAGGAATAGAAAGCTCACCTTTTTTCCTGAGGAGGGGATGGTAGTCTCAAACTGATGACCTTGGGGTAAGCAGCCCAACACATAACCACTACACCACCAGAACTCCCTTGGGAGAAGTACAGCCAGGGTGCTCCTTAGAGGTCCAAATGGCAAGACTTTGTGTCATGCACCTTGGACTCACTATCAGAGGAGAGATCATCCCTGGAGGAGGGCATCGTGCTTGGTAAAGTGGAGCGACAACCAAAAAGAGGAAGGCCCCGGGCAAGATGAGTCACAGAGTGGCTGCAACAAGGGGTTCCCACAAATTGCAAGGCTGTGCAGGACAGGGCAGTGTTTTGTTCAGTTGTACATTGGGTCGCTGTGAATCGGAAATGGACTAGGCAACAACAACCATATTTAGGGAAAAATGTGTAGGTAGAAGGGGCAGAAGTGTCTCTCTTTTTTTTCCTCCTTCTCGCTCTCTCTGTCTTTATTTTGGATAATTGTTCTTTCTGTCCTGGAGTTAAAAGGCTTCAAGAAATGGTTGGAGACCACCCGTTAGAGCAGACTGTAATAGTTCTAACAGAAACCGCCCACTGCCCCTCAGACTGTATGCCTGTGACAAACTGCTGGCGGAGGCCAGCTGGAATACGGCGGCAGCCAGCGAGGGGCCTGCCAGCGTTGGAGGTTTGCTGTCCTTGTGCTAGGCATGACAGTTAGCCCTGGGGAGTCCATGGGCACCCTCACCAGAAGCGAGCCCCAAAGCGTGTGTGAGATTGTGCATCTTCCTGGAAGTGAACAGCCTCCTTACTTCCGTGGGGTGGCAGGTGGTTTCACAGCCCAACGCTCCCCCGCTGTGCCACGGGGGGGGGGGGGGGGGGGGGGGGGGGGCCGAAACAAACTTGCTGAGTTTGTCAGTCAGTAGTGGATGGGAAAGGAGGTGTCTCCAGTCATTGCGAGAGCCTCTTGACGTGAGATGCTCCTAGTGGATTTGACAGCCTTTCGGTTCCATCTCGTACCTTGCAGCCTCCCAGCCCCAGGGCAGTGGGAGCACAGGGCTGCCTGGGTGAAGCCAGTGGCCCAATCACAAGGCACACTGTGTGCTGGGGCAGTGTGGAGGGCTTCCCATCCTCCCTCCTCTCTCCTTCCCATCCTCTGCTTCTGGGACCCGATTCTCCAGCCCCCAACACGGTCATTCCTCTAGGACGCTGATTTTTTTTTTTTTAAATCACATCCGTAGGACGCTGACTTTAACGCCCCAGATGGGCTTGACTTGGCCCAAAGGCAGCTGCCCACAGGCGCAGCCTCTGCCTCAGCCCCAGGTTTGGTCATGTTTGTTCTCACAGTTTGGGGCCCAGGTGAACACACCTCTGAGTCTCCCCAAGGCCCCATCACCATGGTGGCAGAGATTCCCGGCAGCCTCCTCAGCCATCCTGACTGCACATTGTCACCACCTGGGGAAACTTGTCAAGCCATGCTGATATCAGTAAACCTGGATGGCCGGGGGTGCGGCTGAGTGCCCACCATATTTAGAAGTGGAGGAGGGAGGACAGCAGCAAGGTGGGCCCAGCTTAGAACTGCCTGTTCCCAGAAGCTGCTTGGGAGCGAGACCTGTGAGGCTGGGGCCAACTCACCTCTCCTCCAGCAGGAATTCCACCTCCAGCTCTTCCATGCCCTGCAGGGTGGGAAGCGGACAGCTATGAGCTGGGTGTGCACACCTCTGCAGAGTCCTATGGACCGGCCCCTGCCCTTCCTGATTCATCTCTCTACTGTGTTGCAGTGGGGATGGTACTGGGTGGGCATGGGGTGGGGGCGCTGCCCAGGCTCTGGTTGCTCCCTCTGCTCCCTTTGACTAGTCCCCAACCTTTGAATCAGGCAACACCCCTGACAACCCAGGGGAATGTCCTGGGGCAGAGCCAAGCCCCGAGGCCCTCGCACAGCCCCCAGCTTCTGTGGCTTTCCGACCTCCCCAGGGGCTCTGGGGTCTGGGGTCAAGGAGAGATGGGCTCCTTCCTCCAGAAAGCTCAATTCCAACCCACCGCCTCCTTCTCTTTTCTCCACGCCATTTGCTTTGTAGTTTCAGACCAGCCAGGATGTCCCCAGACCTCGATTTCCCCACTGAAAGGCAAGCTACAGGAGGGCATGGGTGTCTGTTCTCAGGGGTGTCCCCAGGGCCTATGCAGCACCGACCCCCTCTTAAAAACAAACAAAACAACTAGTTGCTGACAAGTTTGCTGACTCGTGGCAACCAGGGATGTGCCAGAGTTGACCTGTGCTCCGGAGGGGTTTCAATGGCTGATAGTTTCTGGAGGTGGATCTGTTAGGTAGCTAGAGGCAGAACTAGGGGTGTCCCTCCACATGCCAAAGCCTCCTTCCCCCCTTACAGGAAGTTGGAAGCTGCTTAAGGCTAGAGGGTCTGCTCACATTCAGGTCTTTGAGACAGGAAGCCAGTACACCTGGGTGGGACCCGACCCCATCTAGGCCAGGTGGGCTTAATTCAGCCAATGGAGTCAACCAGTACCATCGACCACGCCTCCCAGCGGAGGACCCTGAAAAGCCAGGATCCGAAGCCCACCAGCCTCCTTTCCAGCTGCTCCTGGGCAGGCTGTGGTTTTTCTCTGTCCTCCGTTTTCCACGTGTGGGTGTGAAGTGCCCTGAGGGGCCTGTGTAGAACCTGAAACTTCTATCCTTTGTAAAAACTCACTTGGGTCACAAAGCAGGCAAAGCCAAGGACCAGGTATTTCTAACCCGAGAAACCTAACAGACCCCCAAGTCTTTCTCCTGAGGTGTCTCAGAATGGACTTGGCCCACCTGTAGACCCTCAAAGATCCGTTGACTGACTATGTGCATAACTAGATCGCTCTCTGGTCCTTTCCATCTCCACTGACTTCCTCTGGTCTGAAGATTTCTGCTCCTTTACCCTCATCCTCCTCCGTGCCCAGGAGCCACCCCAACAGCGGAACCCTGAGGGGAATGTTGGGTCAGGTACCTTCGGAGGACATTAGTAAAAGCCTGCCTGCCCCTGTCTGGCCAAGACGACTAACTTCAAAGGGCCCCAGATCAATGAGCCATCTGCTGGGCATCAGGCAGAAGGATCAAGGCACCACCCAACCTTGGGATTTTTATGGATGGAGGCTGCTTAGAGCCCCTGCAGCTGCAACTCCTTGCCCCTTTAGCTTCTAGCCCCTCCCTTTATTGTTTACCCACCTCTCCCAACCGGCTTAAAGCTCTCCGTCATAGAGTTCAGGGCTGCTCCGTCTCTCTCCCTCTCTCTGCTCTCCCCTCCCTCCCCAGGTCTCTCTCCCTCTCTCTGCTCTCCCCTCCCTCCCCAGCAAGGGACCGTCTTCGCTGACTCCTTGCTGGCATCCTTGACTCTAGTCCAGAAGCGCAGAATAAACTTCCCCTTTTCTTTCTCTCTGGCCTGGCCTCGGTTTATCTTGCGGCGAACTTAATAGGGAAGAAGGGCAGAAAGGGAACCCACAGCCCCGGCCCCTCCGTTTGGTAACCCCAATGGCGTGAGGTGCCTTGGTCATGCTGCCCATGCACCCCGACGACCTTCCTGGGTAGTGAATGTATTGTCTGCAAGGTGCAGAGGAGAAAACAAACACGAAGGCGTCAAGGCTGTCTACAAAGCCACTCTGCTTAGTAACCAGTGCCCCAGGGGATCCGAAGCAAGCCCTGCGGCCTGTTCCTGACTGCCGGGTGCAGGGAGGAGCAGGCCGAGTGGCCTTGGAGGGGTAACCAGCTGCTCCCCATGCCCCGCGGGGGGCCCAGGCACCCGCACCCACCTCTGGGTTGAGCGGGAACTTGACATGGGTTTTCTTTCGGAAGCAGAGCTTGGTGAGGTCATAGAGAACAGTCAAGAGATGGTCGTCTGCTGTCACCTGGTCTTCATCGCAAACACTCAGCTCCAAAACGTTCTGGTGGGGGTGGGGATGGGGGGTGAGGGTGGGAGGGTATGGAGATTCATAAGTTTGGTTCCCCTGGCTGCATTGGCCTATTTCCAAGACACACCGAGTGCAGAGTGGCAGGTCTGAGGGTTAGGAAACAGGACAGAGGGTCCTGCTTAGTGGTGGGGGACATTTATCAATGGTTTGAAGGCTTCTGCCCCTCTGACTAGATCATTTTGTCCTTTGACTGCCTTGGCAGGGGCCTGTGCAATTCACCTGAGGGAAGGATGGGCTGGGCAGGCCAGGCTCCAGAGAGGAAGCATGCCTCTCTGGTACTGGAGACCCCAGATCAGGGAAAGCTAAGCCTTGACCCTCTAGGGCCGTGATGTATCAGAGATGGGAAGGGTTCCGATATTATACGTGGAAAGCATGGGGTAAAGTGTTTGCACTCCATCCTAAACGCCGAATGTCAAGAGCGAATGAGGGCAATGGTCTGAGGGGATAGGTACTAGCTCTAAGGCTTCTCGTTCTTGGATACTGGGGGATGTGGGTAGGGCAAAGCTTGCCCTAGAGACCCCTCTCTAGGAGATATAAAATGGTCCTAGGCTTCCCAACTGAATGAGATACATTGACCTTGTTCAATGACTAGAAAATCAAGCGTGCCTCAGAATTGACCCAGGAGCCCTTTAAGGGCCCAGCTGACACTGTTTTTGTTTTTTTCTTATTTTTTAGTTGTGGATCACCTCACGGGAACTTCAGGTCTCAGAGCATGACCCCTGGAAGTCGGCCTGGGCACACATCACATGCAGATTCTGGTGCTGGATCAACCTTCTTGGCATAAAGGTAAACCGTTCTATTAGCAGGGATTAGGACAGCCTGGTTTGGTTAGAGGCTGTACTATAGGTCAACCTGTGCCAGTAGACGCGAGGCGTAACCACTTTGAATGCCTCGACACAAGGTCCCAGTCTCTATCTTGATAGAGAGGCACCCACATCTAGCAACAATTTAGACGAAAGAGCCAGACAGGAAGGAAGGAGGGCAGAGATAAGCAGAGAGAGACAGATATGAGACAGACATATTGCATTGGCAGAGTGGGAGGATGGGCAGGTTGGTAGGAGCATCGGAAGTAGATAGGGAGGATGATAAATAGCAAAGAAGAGGGCAATTAGGCAAGAAGGGCATGGTGGGATGGACAGCGCAGGCTTCCTGGGGGGGGGGTGTCATCTCTTACTGTGGCTCCTCTAGATTGAAGTTGTCAAGGATTGCTTCGTTCACATGTGAAAGTTAGCCATCGACCCAGGAAGACCCAGGAAGAATCCATGCAGCTGAATTATGATGCTGGCAAGGAGTATCGAGATTGTCACAGGTGCCAAAAGAACAAACAAATCGGTCCCGGGAGAAACATAGCCAGCACGCTTCTTAGAGGCAAGGATGGGGGCGGGGGTGGGGTGGGGGGGTAGGCAAGGGTGGGTGTTGTACTTTGGACATGTTTTCAGGAGCGGTACCATGTGTGCCAGACTGGGCAGTGTTTCCTTGTGTTGCACATGGAATTGCTAAGAGCCGGAACCAACTTGATGGTACACAACAACAACAACATCGATGACTGTAACCGTCAGGGCTCTGCAAATAGGGCATGTGGAACACCAATGGAGGGGATTGGCTAGTTTTAGTTGCCACACCCCTGGCTGTAAGCATGTGCCTGTCTTGGGAGGGGAGAAAAATCTCAAGACCACCAGAAGAGTACCTTCACAATCTCTATCTGGAGGCTGAGACCAGAGACTCCAAAGGCTGTGGCATGGAGACTATGGGACAGAGCAGAGAAGTCCGGCTGAGACTAGAGGGCAAGGCAGGGAACCCACGAGACAGACCAGAAGAGGCGCGTGAAAACAATGGGATTGTGAAGCAGGGCAGATGGTGGGCTTCCTGGCCACGGAGGCTGAGGCCACAGGACCATGTAGTTGATGTTGCTGGGTACACCTAAGCGCATGCTGCGTCCAATGACTTCTTCTTACTGTTTACTTATCTTGACTCGTGGTAGCCTGTTCACATCCCTAATAAACCTCTCTAACTGTGAGTTTTGTCTGTGAGTCCAGTGTGGTCTGTGACCACTGCAGTGTGTTATGGAACCCAGCACGGAAGTAGAGTGCTGTGGGAGGAACCGTTGGGAGGAGCTCAAGAAGGGCGAAAGCTGCAGGCATGGCCGCCCTCTGCCTTGTGCCAGGGAAGCCAGGGGTGGTTGGATAGGGGTCTCCATGCAGTTTTTCATACTTCTGTGTCTTACCTTCACTTTGCTTTGGATCTGAAAGTTGAAGGCTTCATTCCACTCTGGGTTTGGGCAGTTGGAGATGGTCTTTGTTCTCAGTTTCTCGTGAGAGGCGGTGGGCAGCCAGAGGCTCACAAAGCAGTCTGTCTGACTCACTGTTCAAGGAAGACGAGGGGAGAAGGGAAAGGTGAGGAACCAACGCAGGTACAGAGAGGAAAGCGTTTGGAGTCAGAAGGGAGCTTCAGATGAAGGTCCTTGTTCAGTGGTTCTCCACCTTCCTAATGCCGTGACTCTTTAACACAGTTCCTCATGTGGTGGTGACCCTCAACCATAACATTATTTTTGTTGCTACTTCATCACTGTAACTTTGTGACTGTTATGAATCAGCCGACCCCAGTGAAAGAGTTGCGACACACAGGTTGAGAACCGCTGTCCTAATTCATGTCCAGATCCTCTCCCAACTCATGGGGAAGAATCGACAGAGGCTTTTGTCTCGCAGGCTACAGAGTTCGCCAACTGGGCTCCAGATCCCAGTAAGCATACTTGCAGACACAGACAACCTTTGACTCTTACTCAGAGCATCCTGGCCCTCTGGACAAACATCTGCTGGTTGTGGACAAGGCAAGGCCACACAGTCTCTCTCCTGCCACATGAAGATCTCGGAGGATGAACTAAGGGAGCCAAGGAAGCCAAAATAGGGCAAACCTTTTCCTCTGGGCCAAGGGGAAAAGGGATTAGGAAGGGGATTCAATCCTCTGTGAGTCAACTAAGAAAGTCCCAGGAGAAGAGAGCTTGTGGGTAGGAGGGCAAGCTATTAAGCAGAAGTGGGGACCACCTTCGACAGATGACTTAATGACTGAAATCCACTGGCCAGACCCTTTGTACCTTTCCTGGTTTTCTAGCATTAACTCTGGGGGCCCAAGCCCCTCATCTCTATGGCCAAGTACCTAAAAAAAAATTCCAAAAAAACAACAACACCCAAACGTGTTGTTGCCGGTAAAGCAGAGGGACGGCGAGATGGCTTGACATGGTGGCTGCAACAAGGGCTCAAACATAGTGACAATTGTTAGGATGACACAGGACCGGGCAGGGTTTCGTTCTGTTGTGCCACAGGGTCGCTGTGAGTTGGAACTGACCTGGTGGCACTCAATGACAACAGGAACAGAGGGGGCACAGGGCTGGCCCCTGGGAATGACTTAGTTTGATGTTGTCAGTGCACCAAAGCTGCCTTCATCAGAGTTGGTAACTGTGGTTTGCATCAAAAACGTCCCCGATTTCTGATTTCATCCCAATGTCTGGTTGATCTTTGAGGGGTCACCATTCATTAAATTGGAATTCCTGGTCCTCCTCCCATTGAATAAAGGTTAAAAGACATCACTCTTTGGATGTCATAATAATCATTTAACCCAGACAAAAAGAATGACCAAAATCCAGCAAACAGAAGAAAATGGTGATGACCTCATGTGGACTTATCTCTCACACCATATATAAAAATCGCCTTGAAATGGGTCAAGGATCTAAGTGTAGGAATGAAAACGATACAACTCTGGAGACAACAAAGGCATGATGCTTCCTGACCTGGTTTAGGACAGGGATGATCAGTATGACACCGAAATCATGAGCAGCAAAAGACCAAGTAGGTAAATTGGTCTTCACCAAATAAGAACTTCTGTACATCAAGGAAGTGAAGAGACAATCCACAGAATGGGAGAAATAGTTGGCAATCATATCTTTGATAAGGGTTTAATATCCAGACTCTATAAAAAAATACCTACCACCCAACATCAACAAGGCAAACCGTGTAATTTAGAGCCAGACAAAGGGCTTGAGTAGATCTTGCTCCAGAAAAGATACACAAATGGCCGAGGAGCCAACGAAAGATGGTCAAGGCCCTGAGTCATCAGAGAAGTGTGAACCAAAGTCACAATGAGACACCACAGCATCCACCCCCAAATTGCCATCATTAATAATAATTATTAATAATAATAATGGATGTTGGCTAGGATGTGGAGAAATTGGAATCCTGGCACATTGTTGATGGGTTGTAAAATGGTGTGGCAATTGTGGAAAATAGAAAAATAATTTGGTTGTTTCTCAGAAAAATTACACATCGAATCACCTGTCACCCAGCAATTCCACTGAGTATGCCATGCTTTGTTATGCATATTTTACTGCAATCGTATCAACATAAAATAATGTGATGACTTCATTCTCTTGATGTCCAACTAGCACGCTCTCACCAGCACTACCACTGCCTTGGTACTGACCGTCACCATCTTCTACCAGGGTCACTGCTGCCAGATGGACTTCTGTCTGCTGACTTGCCCTACTCTAAGCTTTTCTCCCCAGAGAAGCCAAAGGGATCTTTTCAAAACTGTATTGTTGTTGTTTGTGGCCACCAAGTCCATTCTAACTCATGGTAACACCCGTCTATGCAGAGCATAGCTATTCTACAGGATTTTCAAGTTTGTGACCTTTCCAAACAGATCATCTGGCCTGCCTTCCAACGAGTTTCTGGGTGGGTTTGAACTGCCAACCTTTTGACTGCTAGCCAGGCACTTAAGCATGTGTACCATAGGATTGTTAAGATCATTTGACTGCCTGGTTTAACATCCTTTAAAAACCCAAACTCACCACCTTATGCTGACTCATAGCAACCCCTGTGAGTTACTGACATTGTAACTCTTCCCTGCAGTAGAAATCCCCACCTTTCTCCTGAGGAGGGGCTAGTGGTTTCAAACTGCTGACCTTGCAGTTAGCGGCCTAACACATAACCACTACACCACCAGGGTCCATTAACCTCCATCCTTAACGTGGCTCCTCACTGCCCTCAGGAAGGAATCTCAACCTCTCCATTCGGGCTGCCCTGTCCACTTTTCAGTTTCAGCCTCATCTCTCCATCCTCCCCAGTGCACACACACACACGCACACGCACACGCACACGCACACCCACAGCCACACGCTAGATCCTGGTCCAACTCAAATCACTTTGTAGTTCGTAGAAGGCCATGCCATCTTGCCTTCACACCTTTGCACACGCCATGTCTTCTTTCTGCAAGGCCCTTCTCTTTTCCACCCCCCCTCCCCTTCTCCTGAGTAGCTCCTTCAGGGCTCAGAAGGAACCTCCCTTGGGAGGCCTGAGCAGAGCGCATGCCGCACTGCACCGCAGGGCTGACTCTGTGAGCAGGGTGACGGCTGAGTGGCACATAATGGCACTTATTGAGTGGATGACTGGGAAGTCCTAACTTCCTGCTGGAGTCTGTATCAGTATTCCCAGAAACTCTGGGCTGAGCCAGTGCAGATGTAGGTAAGCAGGAGGGCATGTCTAGTTCCTGTCCTGACAGAGTCTCATAGGAACATGCTCAGGCCTCTTGGACCCCACCCTAGCCTTCTCCTCCCCCTGAGCTGGGATCAGCCAGGATCTCCTCAGGTGTATCTCCTGCATAGTCCCAGCATATGGACAGCGACCCTCACCCTCCAACTCTACACCCACTGCTGCACTGGCTTAACATGACCTGGTAGACCCCATAAAGGCTCCTTTCCCTCTAAAATAGCTTTCCTCTAGATACCCATTAAGTAAAATCATCAATTTTAGGCCGATGGCTTAAGTCTCTGGTTAAAATAAAAGTAGTCCTGCAAGAGACAGGCTTGATTCCTTCAAACATGGGTTTGTTTCCAGCTCCTTTGCAGAGATGGGCTTTTGCTTGCTTGTTTTGTTTTGTGCTGTTTGTCTGTCAAAGGTTGGGAAGAAGGAGAGTGCGCCCCAAAGGGGGGACACTGGAAGGGGCCAGGACAGGCTAAGGCAGATGTCCTTAGCTGACCACCTTGGTTGACAATGAAAAGTGGTTAAGCAGCCAAGACCCAATTTCAAGCATTCCGTACACTAAAAGGTTATTTCCTAGGCACTGATGGCTTCTAATCCGTCTTGTTCACGAAGTGACAGGGGACTTGGTCATCTGAATGACATAGCACCTTTCCTGGAATCTGCGTGGCAGGGATGACTCAGTTATCTCTATAGATGTTGAGGACATTGTCTCCCTAATACCTCTGGAGACACCCACTGACTGTGAGAGAATGGTTTGGGTTGTCAATTGTTCCCTCCAAGAGGAATGTCAACTCTCAGTGGCTGAGAGGTTTCTGGGTTTCTGGGCCTGTCTCTCTCCCTGTCCTCGCCCTGGGCTGGGCTAAGTCCACCTCTTTAGCTCTCGCCTTGGGGAGTCATCAAGATTGGGCTCTGTCATCAAAATCGTGGGAGACTCTAGTCCAGCGTGAAGGACTAAACCAGAGAAGGGTTCGCGTTAGAAAAGAACACGTTGGGGTGAGGGTAACCCAGGACCTGAAATCATCAGAATCTTCTTACTAGAGACCCCAGGGAATGCAGTATCCAGCCCAGCCTAAGAGGACATTGGAGTTCAGACACAACTTGGCTGGAGTTGGGGGCCGGCGGGGCTGAGTGAAACACATGAACCACAAGGATGCTCCTGAAGGGGACCGAGTACTTCTCAAAGGCAACCTGGGGGGTTGTCAGTGGGGTAGATGGGAAGGGAGAGGGTGACAGAGCCAAACCAAGCCCATTGCTTGGACTTCCTGTTCCCCCTTTGCTTGTGGGACCCACCAGTGGTAGGTATGTCAGGGAGAAGACAGAGGGAAGAAGCCAGACAATGGGGAGACCTGAGCAGCAGGTGCAGGCACGAAAAGCAAGAGGGAGCGTGGAGACGGGACAGACACACCTAAGAAGAGTTGGAGAGGACAAGTCTTGCTGCAGGTGGGTGTCCTCATCCCCAAGGAGGGTGGAGTGAATTCTGCCCAAGAGAGGGTGACACACGTGGGCTGTCCCTGGGCCCTGACCGTCAGCCTCCTCAGATCACCCCACTTCCTTCTGTACACTGGTGGACTGGGTATATCCTGAGAGGTCCCAGGAGAAGTCCCTGACCCTTTGGTTGGCCCCTTGGCAGACACAACTTGGAACTTGCTGGAGCATCTCCTGCCAGCCTGGGACCTGGGCACCTTGCCCTGGCAGGTCTGGTGGGGTATGAATCCCAACCGATTCCTTTGTTTTGGTTGATGCTCCAGGGCTTCTTCAGCCCTGCACACTCTTCCCTGGGTTGCAGGCAGTGACAGATTGTCCAGTGAGTAAGGTAAGCACAGGCTTACT